CTATTGTGATTCCTTCTGATTGGGCTTGTTTAATCAGTATTATCTTTCAAAATAATTGAGGCAAACTGATTTAGCAAATGGATGAGGTTAGCAAGAACGACCGCATGGGTTTTGAAATTCATAACTTTGATATCCAAAGGAAAAGTTCCTGACTTAGAAGTCTCCTCAGAAAAGGACCAGATAACAAATGAAGACTATCGATGGGCTATGATAATACTGATTAAACAAGCCCAATCAGAAGGAATCACAATAGAAGAAATAAGAAAATGGAAATTGCTTCGCCAAAGTCATCTATGGAGAAGCGATAGTCGATTGGAAAATGCAGAATTGGAGGAGCAAAGTTTACATCCCATATATCTTCCTAGAAACAATCCCCATAACAGAGCTTTTCATACAACAGCAACATGAGAATTTGTACCACGCCGGAATCGCCCGTACAATATCAATGTTAAGAACACAGGTATGGATACCAAAAGGAAGAGCTGAAGTAAAAAAGGTCCTAAATAAATGCATGGGCTGTAAGAGATGGAAAGTGAAACCATTTAAATTACCAACGATGCCCAATTATCCAGAAACTCGAGTAACAAAATCAGCACGTTCGCCAGAGTTGGTCTGGATTATTTGGGGCCTGTTACCATCAAAACCGAGACAGGAACAACTAAAAGATGGATCGCTTTATTTACTTGTTTTACCACCAGAGCAGTCCATCTAGAATTGGTAGATAGCTTATCTGCTGAAAGCTTCTTACACGCTTCAGAAAATTCGTAGCTAGACGTGGTTATCCTGAATTAATTCTCAGTGATAATGCCAGTCAATTTCAGCTAGTTTTTCAAACTATCATGAGACAAGAAACAAATTGACGGCATTCCTCGCAAAACAAAGAATGGAGTGGAAAAACATAACCCCGAAGGTTCCGTGGAGTGGAGGAATATACGAACGAATAGTTGGAATAACAAGGGGAACTCTGAGGAAAGCCGTAGAAAAAAGGTTGCTATGGGAAAAGGATTTGACAACTTTAGTAGGAGAAATAGAAGGCATCCTTAATACACGTCCACTAACCTATGTAAACTTTGACGATTTTAAAATTCTCAGACCGATCAATTTTATCTCACCAAATACTACATTAATAATACCAACTGAGGAAGACTACGATCAAGATGAGTACTATCCCTACATGAATACACAACAAAGGCTTCTCAAACATTGGTCAAATACCACAAAGGTTCTTGATACATTCTAGCAAATGTGGAAAGAATATTTGGCCAGTCTGAAAGACCGCACACAAGTGAACACAAATCTCCCAAAAACGTAGAATCAAGAACTCCCGTCGAAGGTGAAATCGTACTGGTCAACGAACAGGATGCG